ATCAAAAGAAAAAGCAATAGAAAAACTTTTTTTGACCCCTAACCACAGATGAGCTGGGAAATGGGATTTTAAAAAACGTAACAGGAACCTAGCTATCATCAGTTTTATAATCACAGCAATAATTAGGTTTTATGGCACAAAACATATTCAGTCAACTGGAACCACAGAGATAACTAATGTATGCCACAATTGTTCATGGTTGACACATAGCCTGTTAATTTCACTGACAAATATTTTCCTCTTGTTAAAACTTCACCAACAAAAAATACAACAATCCACTCTTTTCACAGGTCATAATTTGCACTTACATATCAGTGCATAATAAGCTAACACATACAGGGAGAGAGGCTCAGCCCTAAATATAAGTTTATTATGAACCACCCTGTGATTTCCCAGGCCTCTGAACATGTACTTGATGAAAACAAATTCTAGAATACAACACAATATTCACATTCTTCTCTTTTAATATACAAATCTCCTAACACCAACAGCAAGAATGTCAAAAAGTGGATCCTATGTGCAACATTTAAATCACTGAAAACAAATTCACTGTCTTGTACTGTATGAATGTTCACATTTTAAAAACTGCTTTTTTTTTACTGAAAATACACATTCCAATGTTTCATAATATCTTTTTTACCACATAGTATCATCAAATCTTAATTTCTATTCTCAGAGCAAGCTATTAACAATCAATGTTCCTTTAAATCCTAAAAGGTCTAGTCATGGAGTTGTTATTAGCACTTGTATGTCTGTTCTGAATCCCCTTCCTCAGTCTATGGCTTTTCCACTATCCTATCACTAGCCAAAGCCAATGACAGTAGCAGTGGCATGTTTGTGTGGAACACAGGATTGAATTATCCCTCCACTTAGGGTGAGAGATGAACCTGGAATTTAATACTTAGCCTTTGAAATCCCACATCTATGTAGGAAAGGCTATGACCCTGGGATTCTTTCTTGACAGTTGCCTGATTGCTGCTTTGTCCATCAGATTTTTTCCAGTAGCCTCAGGAAAATTCTAGGATTGGAAACTGGGCTGTTGAAAAAAAAAATCCCACAAATGCCATAGGAAACCATTTCCACAATGCTGACAAGAAAACTGGAGGAAGGCAGTCCCAGAGATCAAGTTCAACGTATATTTTACCTTTAGTTGTTGAATATTTATTTATTTATGATAATCCTCCTTTGAAGGGTGACTTCTGTCAGCCCCATAGGTAGATCAGACCATGAAATCAAACTTACAGAAAGGCTACAACTAAAAATCAATAAAAGTAAATCAAAGCTAATTGTTAAAAACCTTATGGAAATCCAAACAAAAGATTTGACAGATAATATACAAATTCAAACAACAAAAAAAATAAAATATCTAGGAATCTGCTTATCTACAAGAACATCAGCAATTAAAGAAAACAATTATGATAAATTACTAGAACAAAGAAAGAAAGACTTAGAAAAATGGGAAAATTTACACATTTCATTCCTAGGAAGAATTTCGGCCATCAAAATGACTATATTACCTAAATTTTTATATTTGTTTCAGGTCACCCCAATTAAAATAGATAAACCGTTTTTTGAAAAGCTGAATAAAATAACATCTAAATTTATATGGCAAGGGAAAAGGCCACGAATAAAATTTAAACTGCTTCAGGATACAAAAGATAGAGGAGGAGCTGCACTCCCTGACTGGGAGATATACTATCAAGCAGCAGTACTATCGTGGGTCAAAGATTGGATAGAATTAAAGGACTCTAGAATTTTAACAATTGAGGGACACGAACTTCAAACTGGCTGGCACTCCTTTATGTGGGATGAGAAATACAAAACACATTCATATTTTAAAACACATACAATAAGGAACTCACTATTACAAATTTGGCTTAAAATTAAAAAACAACATTATATGAAGATACCAAATTGGCTAGCACCGGCTGAATCAATTAGGTACCCAAACTTAACAGATAAGACAAAAATAATTAGATATAAAGATATAATTGACTATCAAGGCAAACTAAAGACAAAACAACAATTGGAGATAGATTTACACAGAGGAATAGACTGGTGGACTTACACTCAAATACAATCCAAATATAGAGAACATATAAAAACATATGAAATTTATAATCAAAAACAAGAAATAGATAAAATTATATTAGATTCAGAAAATAAATTAATTAGTAGAATTTATAAATTTCTCCTACGCTATAAATTGGAAGAAGAGACAGTCAAAGAAACGATGATCAAGTGGGCTCAAAATATCAAACACACAATACCTTTGGAAAAATGGGAAAAGTTCTGGCAGGTAAACCTAAAGTTAACGAAAGCAACGCCGTACAAGGAAAACCAACTGAAAATGTTTTATCGGTGGCATATGTCTCCAACCAGATTGGCAAAAATACAACCTAAAAATAGCCCAATTTGTTGGAAGTGCAAAAAGGCACAAGGGACTTTCTATCATTTATGGTGGACGTGCCCGGCAGCAAAGAAATTTTGGTCTAACATCAAAAAATGGTTGGAACAAATAACAAAAACACAGATTGAAAAAGAACCAGAAACATTTTTATTAGGAATATTTAACAAATCATACCCTAAGGATATCAAATATCTTACAATCCACATACTAACTGCTGCAAGAATAACCTACGCAAGAAATTGGAAATAAGAAAAAATACCAAGTGAAACAGAAGTAATAGGGAAAATTTTAGAATGCGCTGAAATGGATAGGTTAACCAAAGAATTACAAGAAAAAGAAGACTCAGACTATTATAAAATATGGAATAATTGGTATAATTGGTTAAAAATTAGAAATATACAAAAAATATAGGGGATATATTACCGATTGATACATATATATGTAATAAAAAATATTATTAGATTAAAGAGAGGTGAAGGAATATATTATAAGTAGAATTGTAGAACGTCACTCTGAAAAAATGCTTAAGAAGAAATTACACTCTTTTTGTGTATATGTTGTATAAATGTTTGTTGTGTATATGTTACGTATGTCTTTTTTAATATTTATATTCAATAAAAACTTTAAAAAAAAAAAAGAAAGGCTACAACTACTTTTAATGAGACTAGTTCCATCAGCAGAATCTTGCAAGTCTCACTATATTGTATCTCCACCTCTTTCAATGAATTTGTCTGAAGTCATTTCCAAATGTTATCTGGCCATTCTAAAAGCACTTCAACTCTTTCCCCCTCAGAAACGACTTCTGCATGTCTCAATCAAAGCCATCTCCCTTACTCTCTACAACTTCTGGCTGAACTTTTACATACACAAATGCCGGAAAATATACACACGAGATACACATTCATTTATTTGGGGAGGAGGAATCTCAAGGACTGGATTCTCTGCTAGAACTGAGAAGGATTACCAAGATTGGAAAACTGATTCTCTGAGAGAATTATATGTGTATTTTTTTCTATCTACTACTCCTTTGTGAGTCTAAATTCAAGATTATCTTCATTTTGGGTAAATACACTACCTGCAACACTTCCCTTAGATTTCTTCAGTGAAAAACAACTACAAACAATTAGGTATTGTCTGTAGTCTGGCTGACTGCCATTCAGAACGTGCTAGGCCTTGCTAGCTCTAAGTGTCTTGTTGCTTCCCTTCGAGCAGGAAAGATTCTTTAACTAGGATGACGAAAGCCAAATTATACATATTCATGTACAAAAGGCTGATTTTGTTAAACTATGTAACACTACACTCTTTATTTTGTTGTTTGACAAGGTGAAGGAAAATCCAGTTGGAAAAACATGCCAGATTTTATACTTCATGTAATGTTTTATTTTAAAAAAATAAACATAACTCAAAGCTACTAAACTGAAGAATAAAGTATTTGAATTATATTCTATGAGCACACCTTGTTAATAGCAATATAGAGAGACAAAGTAAGGCCTGCAATTGGAGTAGTCACATACATGCAGTCATACTCTTGCTTTTTCTCCTAAAATGATGAAGACAAAGAAGCATTTGGGGAGGAATATAAATGCAGGGAGCTGGAGAGACGAATTGAAATACTAACAAAGGAAATATATTCCTGCAATACTAACAAATGGTACAGGTAATCCTACAAAATCCTAAGAAATGCAGGCAGGTAATAAAGTATTTGCTGTATGATGTGTGTCAACAAAATTAGAGACACTACTTCATAATAACCTAAAAATAATTTACTTATTATACAGAGATTCATGTTTTGTATCTTTGTAGGACGTGTGAGATACCAAAAATAAATAGTGCTTTACCATAAGAACAAGCTTATTTATCATATTGACATAGGCAAAGCCACCATTCAATTATCATTGCATCAATATGCTCTATGTTAATTTCCCTAACCTGGTGTCCATCAGAGCTGTGCAATTATCAATCCCATCATTCTCAACCAGCATGGTCTCATAATTCTCCAACCACTAAGCTGGGGAAGCTGAACTGCAAGACCCAGTAGATAGCTACAAGCACTTTTTGGATACAAGTACAATATCAGAAAAACAACACTTATTTTACTTCTGTCATCTGTATCTTAGCTGCAACTGATACTTAATGGATCAATTGCAGTTACTCCATTCATTTTTTATATTATTCGTGTTTATTATTATTATTATTTATTCTTAATGTTATTAATGTTCGGCTACTTCCCAAGTTCAGATTTTTATATAATTTCTTTCATATGTGCCATATATATTGTGCTTCTTCAACTGCAACCATCTTAAATAGTTGGTAAATGCTTTCTTTTTTTCTTTCTATTTTGACATATTCGTTTTTTAAATATAAGTTGCTTTGGCAAGAGGCACATAAGTAAAAAAAAAACAAAACCTAGGACCCCAAAGCAAGAGAATCAAAGTATGCCACATTTAGACATACTGGCAAACAATATTGAAAAGCAACATCTATGTCCTAAATTTCCAAGTGATATGTAGAAGTGCATTTCATAAAATGAAATTATTTATATCGTTTTGGTGTAAAATTTGCATTCTGGATTTTTTAAAAATATACTTACCTTTTGTGCATCTCCTGTGAAGTAGGCAATGCCCAAAGTAGGAAGAATCATGAATAGTGCATTGTAATAAAGGAGACCATATTTTCCCAGCTCCTGGGAATGGAGGAAAAAAAACAGAAACGTATCTTAAATGAAAAATAAAATATTACATAGAAAGCTAAACAAACAAGACTGTAGGTATTCCATCCAAATAATATAATTTTCCCCATATCCTTAGACACAAACCAGGTTCATACTCCAGCACAAATCAAGAGTATAACAGAAAATGTTGTGCAGCTACATATGTCTTCTGCAGACTGGTGCCTACCTTAAAAATACATTAAATGGATATTTAAGTGAAATAAGGATCACAAATTTTATTCTTCATTCTGCCAATCTCTAACAGGGATAAATATTCAGAGGAAACTGTGCTTTTTACCCACAGAAATTCAGCCTGTAAACTGGGTAAGTTTTTGCCTAGTAGTTGTCCGCTAAATATGGAGAATAAACCTAAATCTGCCCTTAGACTACATGTTTGCCTGAAATAACTCTGCAAGAAATCTATCCCAAATAACCACAGCAAGTTAACACACTTAATCCACAATTTAAAACTGCATGATCTAATTGACTTTCATCCACTTTCACAGCTAGCAAGCTAGCTTTTGATTCACTATGCTTAAAAAAGGGACCAGTTACGCTGGTTACCTAGGGTGACAGTCATTAAACCATCTTATAATTACATAACAGTTCCTTTAAATATGTAAGTGTAACCAAATAATCAATATAATAGCTAGGTAACACTAGTATACCACTGCATTTTGGGAACCTCAGCTTAGTTGCTTATCCTGTAAGTTAATGTTACCCAATACCGTTTCAGCTAACTTTAAAAACAACATTTGCAGGTTTTCAAGATTTTCTGGAGCTAAATATGAAGTCTGCCACTTTAATCTAGGCATGAAATAACTTCACAGTAAAAATAGTTGGGTATTATTGTGCTGCGGAATGTGTTAATGCTTCTGGTGTTATGACTATGTTATTTAACCCAAGGACACCATCAGAATTGTGGTTGTCCTTTGGTTAAAAACAGAGTGCTGATTCAGAGCAGCAGTGAGGAAGATATTACTAGATATAGCTAAATTATATCTCCCTCAACAAGGAATCTAAATAATACCTTGACACATTATAAATGGAAGCTTTTAAAACGTTTCAAGCATCACATTTCACAAGATGCTCCATCTCAGGCCTGTGCAAGTACAAAAAAACTGTTTGAAGGTTGATAAAAAAATGTTTCAAGCTTGAGATGCTTCCAAAATATTGGAACAAACTGTTTCAGTGTTGGGGTAAGATGTTTCATGAAATTTTGTGCTTGCAATATTTCAAAATGAAACATTTTGCATATCACTATGTACATAACAGATCAACCTGTGGAATATCTTATCCCACAGCAACAAAAAAAATACATTTTTATTTTTCTTTTACTGATCAGCCTAGCAACATGCAGCAATGAGGCAAACCCTACCTTTGAATCTAGCTTCTGTTTTACATAAGCACCATTTGCAGCTGTCAAGACATCATTGATCAAGATAAAAATATATCCTTCTAGATCAAATGCCAAATCAGAACTATGGAGAAAAAATAACATTCAAGTTACAGAAAATTTGTAAAATTTACAAATATAGAACATAATTTACATGAATCCTGCAAGTGGGAAACATTTTGTAAACAGTATTCCAGAAGACGCTAGGCATCTGATAAACCCTGATATGTAATACTCTAACTCAGGGGTGTCAAACTCAAGGCCCGGGGGCCGGATCCTGCCTGCGGGGTGCTTATATCTAGCCCATGGGGCCGCCCTGGAAACAGTGAAGGACCGGCCCGTGGTGCCTCTGCCAGCAAAAACTGAGCTCGGCAGCCCTCGCGAGCTCTGTTTTTGCTGGCAGAGAGTTGCAGGAGGCTGTTGCAACCAAAAATGGAACTCGGGAGCCCATTTTCGCTGGCAGAGCGCTTGGACCTCCACAGGTGCCCCTGACATGGGTGACATTGAGCTGGCCATGCCCACCCTGGCCATGCCTATCCAGCCCTCTGAGATCAATCACAACCCTGATAAGGCCCTCAATGAAATTGAGTTTGACGCCCCTGCTCTAACTGAATATAAATATGACCAATACTGCACTTTAATATATAACTGATCTCCTGTAAGAAACTGGGGGAAGGAAGGGTATAGCCACACTTTTTTCTGTGTACAGTCTGTTCTTTCTTAATAAGTGAGTCACCCCACTCAACAAAAAATAAATATGTCTAACTGAGCACTGCTCTAAGTTTAAAATAATTCAAAGTGGATTTAAAGATTCCTATTAATTCCACCTGCCAGTTAAAGTAAATAGAATCAGACAATCACATATTTGTTATGGACCAGGAAAACTATACAGGTGGCTGAAAGCAGAAGAAGAAAATGCCAACTTCCTTAGCCTACATAAGCGGCCATTTACCCTTGAGATGTTAATGAACTACAACTTTCTGCTTGTCTTGCTAACTTATCTTGCTGATTGTGATATTCAACAAAATATAAAAAGCTACAAGAAATCCTACCACTAGACTGCACAGAATTTTTGAAAAAATATTTCAGACAATACACTCGTTCAATACTTTCTAATTCTGTTGCTTAATCCTTTGCATGGGAATTTATATATTAGAGAAACAAACTTTCCATTTTTGTTGTAATTCAGCAGTACAGCTGCTTTAATGGTGTATTCATGCCAATTCTACAATAACAGGAAATAACCTACATTTGCACTCCCTTTTCACCATTTGACGGAATCTAAATTATAGCAAACTATTTAACTTTGTGGCATGAAAATGTGGCAAAAGCAAATGTGGCAAAAATGAACCATACCTTGCAGCTACAAATGCACCAATTATCATTGCAAATACTGTCATCCGAATTCCCCAAGAAAATTTTTTCCTAAAAAGAAAACTTAGTCATTACTGCAGCAAATTTTCAGCCATTCTCAGTACTTTTCTAAATGAAAACAGTTAACTTTCAACAAATCAAGGTAATCTGATGAGCTTTCCACCAAGTCCTGTGCATGTTACTATAGCAATAAGAGGGAAGATTAGTATCTGTTTCACTGGGATCATTTAGCACAAAGGTGATCCAGACTTTGCAAGCAACCTGACCATGTTTACAAACTGCACAGTCAAGTCTTTAACCCCTGAACCTACACACAAAATAAGTATGGTTATCTACAAAGAACAAACAAAAGTACCTTATGCACTAAAATTCAATAAATTAAAGAATTTGCTGGAGTTTCCAATATGAAAAATACACTACACATCTATGCTGCTCTTTGAAAAGAAAATTCAGAAATAGATGGTTCCACAATGCTTTACAGTTCTCATGCTTGCTACAGAATGACCACGAAGCATAATAAATTAGGCAGAACTGTGCCCACCAACACAGACACATGAAACAATATATATCGTACTTTTTTACTCACTTGAGTAAGATTCCTTCTGCAAACATTGTAAACAAAATGGAAAACCGTCTCAGGACTGTAAACATTGGCAGACTAAGAAAGAAAAGAAAAAAGAATGTTTTGAATAAGCTAATCATGTTGAGATGCCCCAAGTCAGTACTTTCATACCAAGCTAATCTAGATAAACCATTATAAATACTAAATAGTACAAAAGAAAAGTATAAGCAGGGAAGATTGACTTCAACACTGCCAGAAAGAGTAAGAAAAAAGACCAAGAATCTGCCAAGGCTGCATTAGTATCAATAGTATCAATCGGGTGATCCAGTCCGAACGGGGAGCATTTCACCCCTGGTTTTAGGCCATGAATTACCGTTGTTAGGACATCCTGGTCAAGGTAGAGTCATACCCAGCATAAGAGCCAGATTTGGGCAAAATCCCCTTTGGCCACAGTTTCCATCAGCTATTTAATTAGAAGCCATAAATCCAATTGGGGGATCCAATTCACAAACCTACTTCTTCGGGTGGAGCACAGCTCCATTCAGGATGATCCACTGTTAATGGATCAACTTGATTTTTACAAATGCAACTTTGAAACTTATGTAACTGAATTTTAGTTTGTTCTGTTTCATTCAGATTAAATGAACTTCAGTTATCAATTCAGGCAGTTTATAGCACCAGTAGTTCAACTTAGGGTACTAATGTAAAAATGAGCGTTATCAGCATACCAATGACATTTAATCCTGAAGTGACAGAACCTTGCCAATGGCTTTATAGAGATGTTGAACAATACAAAGGAGAGCACAGAGGCTTTTAACACTCCACAATGGAAAGGCTGCACGCTTGAGTGCTACTCTTCTATTATTATTGACTTGGACAATCCACTGGATAAAATTAAACTCACCATAAAACTGTACTCCCAATGTGAAACCTTTATAAGTGGTTCAGCAAAGTGCCATGGTCAGTGGACTCAATCCCCACTAAAGGATTTATCAAAGTCACAGATGGTCATCAACCACCATGATCAATGTCTATGACTGGGCATCAAACCTGACTGATATTTATCCAGATAAAGTATTCTTCTAGGATCCTCTATAAACTGAACATCCGCCACCTTCTTTTTGCCAAAAATAGTCATTTTTATGGCAGGCCACATCAAGAAAGGGCACGGTATACCTCCCTCAAGTCAGGCATTCCTCTTCACTTCAGAAAGGCATTGGTGGTATCCCAGTTCCAGTCACTCACAACTGACCAGAACAGTTCAAATGAACCGGAAAAGAGACAGAACAAACATACAGATGGTAGGGCTCAAACCACACCTTTTATTTGTAATAATGCCTCAGCAGGTAGCAGCGCCTAAGCAGGATGACTTAGTCCACTACCTCAAGACTTAGGTAGGGGATTTTATAGCAAATTAAGGCCAACCGAGGGCCTAAACACAGCTTAACAATTGTGTTCTTCATGCCTTCCATTGCCTAACTGATAAACTATGAGGACTCAGTAAGGGTTGATAACTAAAGTGTAGCAGTGAAAAAATTAAAGGCACACTAGGTTAAGGGGAAAACTCTGTGTTGGCCCCCTTCCCTTGGTGGCCTAAGCATATATTTATTTTCTTAATTGTCAATCTGGGGCTGGATTAAATCAGGATATTCCAGGATGACCAGCTAGGCATAGAAGTAAAAAATATGTAACTTGGAAGCAGCACTAGCAAACCACTTTCAGTAAAATTGCTAAGCTAACGGCATGGATGCAGTCACAGAAAACTAATTTGAGAAAATATTTATTACTTAAGAATATGCATTTTCTGTTGTAATTTTTCCACGTTTATGTTCCTGATTACACATGCAAGATTGCAGAGTAACATGTGTCTTGCCAGACAGAGACTCCTACACATTCTTACTTGAAAATCCTAGTAAACATTAGCAGGATTTATTCTGAGTTCAATAACTAGATGACTGAGATGCAAGATAATAATGTATATAGAAATCTAGTCGATATCACCCGTTTTATTATTCTTCAGGTTTATCCACTCTTCCATTTGTTAAGAACACCTTTCATCTTAGTATTCCAAGAGCAACTAGTATTCTGAAGTAATCAGAAGAAATATCTTTAGAGCTCCTGTTATACAGATGTATAGTTTTAATAAAAGCATAATAAAATTATAACCTCACAAATGTATAAAAGTTATCCATACTTCAATTTCTTTGTGCTGAACAGTCCTGTGATTTGGTTCCCAAAATAGAGAAGAGGTAGTGGAAAAGTCTAGAAAATTATAAAAAGGGATAAAACAGCACTCCATGAACAGATAACGTCAGCTTGAGACCTAGCATTCTAAACAATGACAGTTTTATAATGAACAGCTTTCATCAGGCACACCACAAGCCCAATGCTGTTTAAGTGTGGTTTAACGGCTTCAGCACGTCAGATAAATATGATTTTGAAATCCAGTTTACAACACAAGCACATAATCCTTCTTTTCTTCAAAACTTTGTTCATTTGTGAAGCCATTAACAGAACATCTATTATTTCAAGTTATGTTGGGCATGTAAAGGCAAAGTATTCATAAACTGAGATCATGTTTAAATCAAGTCACTTGTTCATATGTGTACATTAGGAGCACACTAAGAATCTATGGCATGACATCGGTATAAATACAGAAAACAGCCACTCTTAATACTGTACCATGGTCTGCTAAACAAGTTCTTTGAATACGCAAGTTATGTAAATGGACTCAAAACTCATAACTGGGGAGTTCTGACGCAAATAAACATTTCATTACATGAGACAAAACCTTATCAAAGTTTACTCAGAAATAAGATGATTAATTTATTTATTCCAGCATACAGAAGATTGTATTTTGAGGGAATATTAATCGGAAGTAAGTCCTTTTACATTTAAGTGATTGTATTTCTAAGGGGAAATTTTACATCGCTTCAGGAAAAGGCAATAGGAGCCTGTGTGGAAACTTCCCTCAACCTTTTTTAAAAGGGAAAAAAAGAATTTAAAAACACACACGGGGACGTAGGATACTGCAAAGCATTTCTTTTCAAAGAGTATTTCTACTCCTCCACAAGCTCCACAGGCTTTTTTAGAAGTATAGAAAATGGGTCACTGAGTCTTAGTCCTCTCTCTTAGGAAGATTGCCAATGCAAAGCAAATATACTTTTAGTATTTATTCCTCCATTAAGAGAATAATCCTATACAAAATAAAGGCTAGAATTCTGCATGTTTAACAGCACTTTTAATGCATTTTAAAGTGTGTTCTGCCAAATATACCGAACAATATTTATCTTAATGAAAAGATTATTCATTGCTTCCATCTCAATAATTATTAGTTTTAGGAGAGAGGAAGGAGAGAGACAAGAAACACGTCATACCTTTCGAGGTATATGTCTATCAAAATCTGGAAACTTGACCACCCTGAGTGCCTTTCCCACCCAAAGGACAACTACGGTAGCCAGCATCTGTAAGAGAAGGAAGAGAAATCACTAGGGTGCCTCCAATTCTCCCTGCCCACCCTATTTAGAAAATTTCTGAAATGCAGACTTCAACAAACCTGTCCTAGTCCCACACAGAGCGAGGAAGGAAATCTGTAACAGACCACAAACATGTTAAACCATACTAGACAGCCGAGAAACTTTGACAAATCATACATGACGGAGAATGCTAGCTGGTGGCAGAAAAAAATGGCCTGCCTCTGCCTTCACCCTCGTTTAAAACTATTCTAAAATAAGGGATGCACTTCATATTCTTTGCCCTTGCAACCAACGCCCTTGCAAACGTAGTCCTAACATGTTCAGCACAGATGCACTTCTTATAGTACACCTTTCCAGAAGCACGTTAAGGTGCAAGGACACAGAATGATCAACAACAAGGAAAACTACAGGGCACCTACGGGAGGCAAGTTAAAAACATATAACGTCAAAAGAAGGAAGATTTCCAAGGAACCTTTAAAGCAAGGGGGAGAATGGCAAGGCAAGTGCAACCCCAACTACCCAAGTCAGTCGGTCGGTCAGTCAGTTAGTTCTCTGGAAATTTAGGGTGCTGCACATCACAAGCAGTCCCTCTGAATTCAACCCGCCGGAATCAGCAGAGCCCATTCCAGCCCCTGAGGTCCAGATACAACTAGATAGTCCTCCACTTACAAGAGTTCACTTAGTGACTGCTCAAAGTTACAACGGCATTGAGAAAAGTTACTTATGATCATTTTTCACACTTATGACCATTACAGCATCTCCATGATCACATGATTTATATTTGGATGCTTGACAACTGATTCACATTTATGACTGTTGCAGTGTCCTGGGGTCATGTGATTTCTTTCTGCAACCTTCTGGCAAGCAAAGTCAATGGGGAAACCAGATTCACTTAACATCCTTGTTACTAATTTAACAACTGCAGCAATTCACTTAACAGTGGCAAGAAAAGTCATAAAATGGGGGAAAACTCACTTAACAAATGTCTCCCTTAAGAACATAAATTCTGGGCTCAATCATAGTCCTAAGTCGAGGACAACCTGTAGCCCTTGACTTATCACCACAATTGAGCCCAACATTTCTGTTGTTAAGGGAGACAATTACTAAGTGAGTTTTACCCTATTTGCCACAGGTTGAAAAGTGAATCACTGCAGTTGTTAACATAGCAACACTTTCGTTAAGTGATTGACTTTCCTTATCAGAAGGCTGCAAAACGTGATCACGCAACCGTCATAAATATGAACCCGTTGCCAAGCATCTTAATCACGGGGATGCTGCTAAAGGTGGCAACTGTGCAAAATGGGTCGCAAGTCACTTTTTTTCAGTGCCCCTGTAACTTTGAACGGTCATTAACGGAACAAGTCGAGGACTACCTGTAGGACAGGGGAGTCCTGTCATTTCCAGAGTCCTGGAGAAGAAAAGGCAACTGGGCAACTTCCCAGCACAGAGACCTCCTTACAAGGGGTTTCATCGGAGGAGATGCTAAAGGCGGACGGCAAAACCTTCCGCAGGGCATCCACACTGGAGAGGTGAGCAGGCGTCGGTCCCTTTTCTCCGTTAACATGGAGGCGGCTTTTTCTCCGAAGGCTAAATCCGGGGACGGAGGGGCAAGAAGCCCCCGAGGCGGATGAAAGCACCCGCCCATCTCAGCGGTTCATGCAAAAAGGGGCCGACAACCGGGCTTCACCTCCCTCCCTTCCTCCCTCTCTCCCGGCTGCAGGACGCGTCGTTCTGCAAAAACACCCCCGCCTCCAGCTCCTAAAACTTCCACCGGGGCCAGCGCCAATGAACTTCGCCCCGGGCGGGCTCGCCTCCTTACCCACCCGTAGCTGGTGAGGACGCTCTTGTTCACCACCACGATGAGGAAAGAGCTGAAGCCGTAGAAGGCAGCCGCCAGCAGCTTGAGGCAGGCGGAGAGGCTGGGGGCCGCCGCCATGCCCGGCTCCTCATCTCCGCGAGCTGGGGCAGCTACTACGGCGACCGAGGGAGCTTCTGCTTTCACGCCAGCTGCTTGACGTCTGCGCACGCCCGCCGACATGGTTGCCAGAGGGACGTCAAAGAGGGGGCGGAGCCACGGAGGAGAAAGCCCGGGAGAGCGCGAGCTCTGGGGACACTTTGCAGCTGGAGCGGGAAAGGGCCTGAGTTCTCGGGGGAAGAGGTGGGGGGGGGGGGTTGAGGGGGGTGGAGAGAAACGGCTGACGGAGGGAGAGCCTCCTTACTTGTAGGACGGCTTTCCTCCGTGTCGTATCTTCCAGAAAGGCTGGACGATGAGTCACGTCATCTTCATTCGTAGAGTAGAACATAACTTAAAGCTAACGGGCGAGGCAAATCAATGTGTTGTGGATTTAATAAGACAAACACAACTTTTGGGTTGATCAGAGACAGATTTTATATATTGCGCAATAGGTTCAAGGCTCTGTACATGAAGCGTTCTAGACAAAGGATTCTTTTGAAGTCAGCAGTTCATATGGTCCTATACATTTATCAATTTTAATTGACATTACAGAGTTTCTTTGCAAAACAATCATAATTCTTTTTGTAGATTACTGAAGCATATCTTTTATCTTTTGACGATGGACAACTTTTAACTCATGTGGATCCCCTTGACCTAACCAACCTTTAAGCTGTATGTTATTAGAATGTTCCTTTCTTCTGACAACTTAGAGGCCTCCTAGAGGAACCAAAAGGACCTTGGCTGAGTTTGTACTCTTTCCAACCGGATGCATTTCTTTTTAGAATAGAGTGAATAGAAAGTTATCCAGTGGTCATCCATCAGAGCCCGCTTCATTACATTAAATGCAACAGTTCACTTAGGGACAAGGGCACTGGACAAAGTTACAAGGGCACTGGAGAAAAAATGGCTTATGATCGTTTTTCACACTTACGACCTTTTGTAGTAGCAACCCCCAAAAGCATATATATGTGGGTACATGCATAATTTTGCATTTATTTATTTATCTTGTCGTTTTTATGTTCTTATTAGAGGTAGAGACCCTTTGAGAGCTGCGTGCAACGTAACTTCGTTTTAGTGTATGCCAATTAGTGTACATTCAAAGTGACAAAGTATTCATGTGATATCAAAATCACAAGATGCTTGGCAACTGGTTCATACTTACGATCGTTGCAGTGTCCCTGGGTCATTTGATCGCCTATTGCAACCTTCTGACAAGCAAAATCAGTGGGGAAGCGAGATTCACTTAACAACCATGTTACTAACTTAATCAACTGCAGTGGTTCCCTTAACTGTGGCAAGAAAGGTTGTAAAATGGGGCAAATGCCTCACTTGGCAACATAAATTCTGGGCTCAGTTATGGTTGTACATGGAGGATTGCCTGTACCTTTTCCCCACCATCCTCTTGAGGTTCCTAAGAATATTTAAGCATTACATAATAGTAATCCAATCTTGAAACTCAAATACTTTGGCCACCTAACGAGAAGGAAGGACTCACTGGAGAAGAGCTTAATACTGGGAAAGATTGAGGGCAAAAGAAGAAGGAGACGACAGAGAACGAGGTGGCTGGATGGAGTCACTGAAGCAGTAGGCATGAGCTTAAATGGACTCCAGATGATGGTAGAGGACAGGAAGGCCTGGAGGAACGTTGTCCATGGGGTCGTGATGGGAACTAGTGTCCGTATAAGCAAGATTTAGATTCACAGTAGCAGAAAAAGTTGGCTTGGAAGATGATGTATAAAAACAACCCTTCGACCCAGATTTTTTGTTTTAATCCAGTCAATTTATTTATTTATTATTTATTTATTTATTCAATTTCTATACCGCCCTTCTCCCGAAGGACTCAGGGCGGTGAACAGTTAAAATAACATACATATAAAATGTGAATATAAGATGATTAAGCCAATTTGGTTCATCGGTTAAGAATTTGCAGCATAAAGATTTAGAACAATTAGAAGAGATTTATGCCAGCCCGGCTTGGTGAAATAGAAAGGTCTTAAGTGCACGACGGAAAGTACGAAGATCTGAAATCATTCGTATCCCTGGGGGTAACCTGTTCCAAAGGGTAGGTGCCCCCACAGAAAAGGCTCTTTCTCTGGGAACCACCAGTCGACATTGCTTTAGTGATGGCACCCTGAGAAGGCCCACCCTGTGGGAGCGTGCTGGTTGGTGGGAGGTTATTGGTTGCAGAAGGTGGTCTCGTAAGTACCCAGGTCCTAAGCCATGGAGCACTTTAAAGGTAAGAACCAATTGAAGAACACAAATCACTTTATTACAAGGAAAAGTGAATTCAGGCAGGTGGCTGGATCAGAAGTGCAAAGAAAAAGGAAAATAACTTGCACACCTAAACTTTCTTGAGTTTGAAATTTCACTGATCCAGCTCACAGCAGGCCCGACTCCCATTGTACAACAGAGGTGAGAACAATGGTGAATGCAAAGCACTATGTATTAAAATCCGGGATATATTTTTAATTGAATGAGCCATTCGAAAACCCCAGATGTGAAGAAAAAACATAGTCAAGTATTCATAAGTCCTGAAGCAAACAATCCACTGAATATCTCTGGAGATTCCCGGTCATCCAGGTCACAGTTGTCTTGAAGGTGCTTTTTTCTTCAAAAGGCAGCTGGACTGTTTTTTTCTTGAAGAAGAAGAAAAAAATGTTTCGCTTCTCAACCAAGAAGCCTCTTAGATGAGAAGTGAAATGTTTTTTTCTTCCTCAAGGAAAAAACAGTCTAGATGCCTTTTGAAGAAAAAAGCACTTTGGAAAGATCCCTCTGAACGGAAATTTTCTCTATCCCATTATCCTACTGCCAGAAAAGTTTTAAAAGGATGGAGGGAAGGGAAAGAAAGGAAAGGCAATGCAGAAGATACTAATCCTTTGGAACCACATTCTTTTGCAAATTGAAAAGTAATACCAGGGGGAAAAAAGCCTTTACATTCATATTTTTTTCTTGTTTGTTATTTTCAATATAGCTTCATTTTCTCTCTGAAAAGTGCTAAATTCCAATGCCCCACCTATATTTTAACTATTGCAACAAATGACCTGATATAACATGGCAATAAATTAATCCACTGTGTGGTGTGTACATATTTATTGTCAGTCCAAAAAACTTCACACAACAAGAAGTAACTCAAGAGGTTGGAGCTATGTTGTTTTGTCACTGCAGCTGTTACTTGTTCCAGGCCTTGAGAGGCATGGAGATTCTGAAGTAACAGGTGATGCTGTTGGTATACTTATCACAGTAGAAGAGTCTCCACTGCTCTCATCTTTTGAATATGCGGCTGATTTCTCAGACTCCAGGTTTTCGTTTATTAAGTCTAGCAGGAAGGATGAACTTGTCATCTCACTAGATGTCTCTCCACTTTTTCTCTTCAATGAGTCCAGATCCTGGGCTCTGAGTTCCATGTCAGTTGTAGTTTCATTTAAGAAGGGATCCTGGTCAGAGCTGCTTCTATCAGCTGATAGTTTGTCACTGGGCTTTCTCAAGGGACAATCCGCTAAACTGGGCACTTTACGGCCAATCAATCCATCTGGAGCCTCACAAACTGGAATTGGTTTTGGGAAGGGTATGTAATCAACAATTGCATTATTCTTTTTGAATCTTTCTTTACTTTTAGTCAGTGGTTTTTTCAAAAACCCTGCAAGTGAGGATTTTATTCTTGAGACAGTTGAGAGACTGGGTTCCATATTACTTATAGGTTTTTTTCCATCTGCCATAAGAATGTCTTTGTTACGCTGGGACATATTTTGAAGAATATTTTTCTCGGTTACAACATGCCTGGTAATTCTTTTGGTGAAATGCCCTTGGGTTTTCTGAACCAAAGATGTCCCTTTCTGAGAATTTACAGAAAGATTACTTAACTGCCTTTCCAAAGATAAAATCTGAATGGTAATGCGTTTTGGTTTCCTAGTAAAAGTGGGTTTTTTCTTCCTCTTTGCTGTCAGATTAGAATGAGGACATGTTTTACTTTTGATTATTGCAATGGAATCATCATAATTATTTTGTAGAACTGGGTTTAGATCCATACATGCTTCATTATCCTGATTCAAATAATCAAGTGTCTTCTTTCCATATAACAAAAGCCACTGATTCCAAGCAAACTTCCACCTGCTTCTTTCATGACAAAAAACGGGAAAGGATTCACTCATTTTCTACAAAAAGAAAGAGATAGTGAAACTTGTATACCAATTAGTAGCACACAACTGTTACACATACTTAGGGAGAGCTCCTACTGACACCTGTATCCCTTGAAATTATTTAAAACTATCTGTTGCCTATTTCTTAAGTTCCTGAAACCACATTCATATAACTTTTCAAGAAGTTCAAATTTATATCCAGACTCGCATAAACCCTGCAAAGAAATTTAAGTTTAAAAGTTTAATCTTAAACCATAAATTGAAGTTTAGAGACAGCAACAGATCACACTTGGATTTTTCACATATAAGTCCAGAATAGCCCTAGTACTATAGTAGTTGGATGTTTTGAATATTTTCTTTTTCAAAAGTGAAGTAAGTAAGTTTGTGGTAAAAAACAAAAAAACAAAAAACAGTACCATAGCCAAAATCTTCTAATTTATAATCTTACTTAATTACAGTACCTGGAGAATAGGGGGAAAAAAGCAAAATTTGATTTAAAGACAAATATCCATTACCCGGATGCACAAATTTTCAATGAAGAAGTAAGATCCTTCCCCCTTGAAGTTGTTTTGCAAAAAGTCTGCAATCTCTTCCTGTGTATGAGGATAGTGATAATGCTTCACTATGCCTCTTATGTAAAACCACTTTGGTACAAAGCCTTTTCCAGGTATGGAAACTGCCATTGATGCTCAGAAAGAATGTGACGTTTCAACAATTCCAATGTTTCCATAGTGGGCAGTGCCAGGCTGATGCAGAGCCAAGCCACTACAAGCCTATTTATCACTTTTTTCAACTATAAATACTTTCTACTACATTCAGGTAAATTTGCTCCCTGGGTTGGGCTTACCAATCATAAATTGGTAGAAATTCTCATGCATATTTATTCTGAATCTGAAGTCCAATTGATTTACGGGCAAGATTTAAAGTGATCCCATTAATTCATTTTGTAATCAATTTCATGCTCTAATTTTACCAAAGATTTCCAACTGTATAACTTT